TCACTTACTATTTGAACTGCACCTGGTACACCACCGGCCCCGCCTCGTGGCTCAGCAACCCCGGCTCCCAGCTCAGGACCTGCTCCGTGTTGTAGAGCCAAATCTTCGGGTTCTGAGGAGCAGGCAGCTGGGAGGGAGAGTCTTGAAAGGGCCCCAGGACAGGAGGAGGGAGAGGGGGAGGAAAGGAGGCAAAGGAGAAAATCAGTCACAAACATTGAAACGCAGGCTGTGGAAGCGCTCACGCAGCTCCGGTCCATCCCAGCTTAGAAACGGCATCGCCTGATCGCCCTGGCTGCCCCTCTCCACTGTGACTAGAGATGGCACCGCCAGCACGGTCCCTGGGGAAGTGGGTGCGGGCTGCCTTCCCGCCTGCCGGCCCTCCGCGCAGGCCCTGGGCGAGGAGTCTGGCCGGCCCGGAACGCCTGCCTGTCCCTGCAAGTGTGTGACTGCACAGGTAACCTGCCAGCGCGCCTCCGTTTCTTTTATTAAAAAACTAGGGGTGCAGTGCACAAAATCTGCACAGAGTGGGGGGTCTGGCCTGCACCCTCTCCAATCTGGGACCCCTTGGAGGATGTCTGACTGCCCTCCCGCAAGCTGGGACTGCTGGCTCCTAACTGCTCAACGGTCTAATTATCATACTACCCTTCTATTAGTATATCATATATTTTTATTGACCTCAGAGGAAGGGAGAGGGAAACTTCAATGATGAGAGAGAATCAGGGATTAGCTGCCTGTCCCCAGCTGCCTCCACCACCGGCCTGATTGCCCCCAACTGCCCCCACCACCGGCCTGATCGCCCCCAGCAACCCTTCAGTCCCCAGGCTGATGCTCCATCCACTGCGCCAAACGGCCAGGGCCCTGCCCTCCTGTTTACACATTCGTCTCCATGGCTAAGAGCCTCCTCTGACTGAACCAGCAACACGTGACCCAATTCACACCCGGCTTCTGCCCTCCAGGCAGCCCTCCCCCGGCCCACCCCATTTGCTGTGACCCCTGCTGAGCAGCGGGGTGAGCCCACCCCCATCGCAGACTCCCAGGCCCTGGGCACTGCCTCTCCCCGTTCCCATCGATGCTGAAACACATCGCCCAGCGCCCAGTGCTCCGGAGGCCGAGGCTTGACACAGGCTGCAGGG